AGATTGGACATTCTATATATCTTAATTCTTAAATTACTTTATTTGAGTTAAACTTATTGAATTGAAAAGTGTCCTCTGATGCAATGGCCCCAAATGTCACTGTGGTGATTGAATGGCTGTAGATTTTTGGGACAGAGAAAGACTCAAAAGGTAAGGAAAAACTTGGAGTTAGGTCTGAATCATGACAGTAGCTGCTTGAGTCTGACAACAATGAAGGTTGCGGATGCTGGAATCAAATAAAAAGAAATACGCGCTGCTATGAAGGTTGCAATAATAGGTAGGCCATGTAAAAAATGATCTAAGGCTTTGAATACCATATTGATAAAGGAGGTCTGAAATAAATTACTTCTAATTGATTCAAACTAATTGATATATAATAATATAAACACTATTCTAGGAAGATAAAATAGGATACTAGCTTATATCAAAATATGAAAAAACTCCACTAGTTTGCAAACCATGATTTATTTTTATTGTTGCTTGCTTTTATTTTTTCTCATTCCTGAAAAGCACATTCTTGTTATGACTTATCTTTTCATACCTCCTCAGTCCACTTTCTGCAACCTATGTATGATTTAGTTTTGAATTCTCCTAAAAGATTTATGGCAAGCTTCTTCATGCCAACCTTTTTATCCTACATCAAGTTTGGTTCAATTTTAAAGTTCCAAGTTTGCCTGCTTTATAACCCATCTTAAGTGATTAACAATTCTTGCCTTTTATTTCTTTCATCTTATCCTAGGATGGTACTTTTGATAGCATATTTGCATTCTATTTATTGTTATGATATATGTAAATAACTATTATTCTAGATTGTGTGGTATGCTTTTTTTTAATCATCGTACAAGCCATGAAAAAAAAATTGAGGTCTTGTTTGGAATCAATTTTTATTTTTAAAAGCAGTTTTGGTTTGTGTTTTTAACTTTTTCTTTAAAACAAACAAATTGTTAAAAAAAAATATTCAAAATAAATTTTAAATATTTTCATTATTTTAAACATTAAAATCACCCTAGCCAACCACTTGCTTTTTTCAACATCAGCTATCGTTGCTCCACCACTTTGCCTACCTACTGCCGCTATCACCAATACCTGTACCCCCTCCCTCATGATAGTTGCAAAAATTAACTTCGATATTCAATAAAAATAAAATAATGTGTTTAAGATATCAAATATATTTTTATTTCACATTAAAACTTGAACAAAATAAAAAATAAAAATAGAAAGTTATGTTAAATGACCCTTAAATAAAGAGTTTATATTTGGCTGTTCCATTTTTGAATTATACGATTACTCTTCTAGTTTCTTAAACTATGTTTGTAATTGTAATAGTATCGACTATCTAGAAAACAAGGATAGCTTCCCTTATTTCCTCTTCCACGTCATGGATCTCTCGGATCCCATCTTTCTAGTCAAATTTGCGGAACTCAAGTGCTATTTTCATTTATAATTTTGCAAAAAATAAACTTAATTGATATATGTTAAAATCTCAGCTGTTCCTTGACACTTGATTCCACGGCCAGGATGAGAATCTGTGGGAGGCTCATATGGATCATGCCGATCTCTATTAAATCCCAGTCGTCCATTAATACTTGATCCCACGGCCAGGATAAAAATCCGTGGGAGGCTCACCAGGATCGCGCTGATCTCCTTCCATATTTGGGTGGCTGATTTATGAATGATTATATTAAGGCAATTGTGTATGATTTTGTAGTTATTTATTTCTTTATTAAGACATCTTGTATATATCTATAAATAAGGATAATTTTATATAATAAAATTAAGCATTTCTCTCTCCAATTCTCTGAATTTAACATGGTATCAAAGCCTTCATTGCCTTGACTGGAATTATGAGTTTTTACTATCGGACTTTCTGAAGGGAAGGCTAGGTCTTCCCTTCAGAAACGAAACAGATTGTATTCCAGCTTGTTCGTTCCTGCATACATCCAACCGAGATGGGGAGAGTGCTTCATCTCGCGGTCTCTTTGTTTTATCAAGAGAGACAAACATCTAGTGTGTCTCGTCTAGAGTCGAACCAAAACCCCATGGTCTTTACATTCGATCAAGAGAGACGAATGTCTCGTAAACCCCTCTTGCATGTGTGTGACCAAATGGGATGAGAGAGGTGTGTGGCTAAAAGATTCTGCACGTGTGCTTGGGAGATGATTGTGCAGGATTGCGCTCACCGCTACGTGTGATCAAGGATGAGCCGGTTCTTGCATTCTGCTTCCTTTTCGCGTACGTCCATAGCAATTGAGCAAGTGAGAAGGCTTCCCCTTTCGATCTTCTGCATGCGGCTATAGAAGGCACACGAGACCCCTCTTGTGCGTGCCTACCTAGTGGTCTGACCGAGTGAGAAGATGATCAAGAGAGGGAGCGAGCAGGAACTGTGTGCGTGTGTAGCGTGTGCGCGTGAGCCTGGATGACCGACCCTCATTCTTATGTTGGAGCCTAACCAAGCCAGGAACGAGCAGTTGAAGAGTTATTGTGCATGCGATCTAACCAGGTTGAACAGACCTGGGAGCCTCTTAAGCGCGTGTTTGCTCTCGATTTTGTGGATTCGGAAGGATAATTAATCAGCTTTCTGTTGTCCAACCATCGGTCTTCTTTGCCTTTGAGGAATAAAGGCTCCAGGCTCCCACCATCGGCTTTCATTGTCAAAATTATGAGTAATGCATGTTCCCACTACTGACCTTCATTGTCATAATTATGAGGAATACATGTTCCCACCACCGGCCTTCATTGCTGGAATTATGAGGAATACAAGTTCCCAGCACCGACCTTCATTGCTAGAATTCTGAGGAATAGAAGTTCCCGCCACCGGCCTTCATTGTCGAAATTCAGAGGAATATTGATCCTTTTGCTTCTTTCATGCATCCAAGATCGAGGAGAGATCGAGCAGTAGGGCTCCTCTTGTGAGGGTTCCCTCTCGTGCGGGTCTAGGGCCAGGACAAGCAAGAGTGCGAGACCTACACTACTTCCTCATATCAGACCAGATGGATCAGAGGCCTTGCGTGCGCATGTACCAGGTCGATCGAACAGGAGTGTTCAAGTGGAGTCGGATGATTAATTTGCATTGGGCTGAAGGCTGCGTCGATCGAACGGGAGGAGATCTGTATGGCAAATGCTGAGCTACTTAAGATGTGTTTTTCTGTTGCTGTCCTTGAACCTTGGCGCAACCCTAAAAATAGTTTTTTTTCCTACTGTTGTGCTTTCATTGTCGGCCTTCTGATGTGAAACGTACATGCAAGGATGATTAGATTAAGGAAGTTGCACGCTTAATTTTAGGAGCCACAATAATTATATCCGTTATATTGAATTTAAACGACAAAATAAAATACAAGGAGCGGTAAAATAAGTTTAGGCTAAATCACTTGCATAGGAGTTAAGACCGTAAAACATCAATTAATCTAATTTTGCATACATGGAAAGTTTCTACAAGAAATCCCTGGACTAACAATGAGATTAGTACGATGAGGTTGCTATCCTATCTATAACCAATGTAGCCTTCATTGCTGCCCTACTTAATACTGCCTTCATTGTTACCCTTTGCCACCGTAATGTCTGAAGCTAATTTTTCTTTCCAAAGTTTTGACCAAATAGAGGGCACCATGGTGCACCAAGAGACTTGATAACTCTACTTTTTTATGACTAATTACCAAGCTGGGAATGACATATATGTATTCCTCAGCTTGAGGGGGTGTTAAAATCCTCCCAGCCATCCATTGACACTAGATCCCACGGCCAGGATGGGAATTCGTGGGAGGTTCATATGGATTATGTTGATCTCTGTTAAATCCTAGTCTTCCATTAATACTTGATCCCACGGTTAGGATGAGAATCCGTGGGAGGCTCACCACGGTCATGCCGATCTCCTTCCATATTTGGGTGGCTGATTTAGGAAAGGATTATATTAAGGCAATTATGTATGATTATGTAGTTATTTATTTCTTTATTAAGACATCTTGTATAGATCTATAAATAGAGATAATTTTATGCAATAAAATTAAGCCTTTCCCTCTCTAATTCTCTGAATTTAACAATATCAGTTATTACTTGGTCATTTTTTACTTTGATCACCTTTTCTTGCAACACTTCGTCCACTAGCTCTTCTTAACTTCTATTGCTCAACCTTCTCTACATCAAATAGTTTGTAATATTTCTTAATGTTTATGTTTTTCTCTTTGTTTTTCTAAATATAATATAATTTCTCTCTCATGAAACCCTCTATTTCTCAACATTATCATTCAAATTACCCAAATTCCATATTCCAAGTTCAAAATTAGATTAAGGCTTAGTTAACGTTTTCACAAAGTTTCAGTGTTATTGAGTTGAATTACTAGAGTCAGCTCTTTCTTCTATCTTACCTTTGTCTGTTGTGGTTCAATTTCATTAAGTATATGAAATATCCTAATCAACTCTTCTTTTATTTTTCACCGAAGTAAGATTTGGTCATGCTGCATTGATACTAAGAAATGCCTTAACACTAACAAGTGCCAAATTATGAATTATTTTATGAATTTTGACACAGATAACATTTCTTATTTGGTTTTGGGTCAGGCAATAGTAATATCATTATTTTGGTATATGAAAAAACGTATTTATATGCTTTTCATCAGTATTTTTTATCTTCTTTCAAAATGTAATGATTTTAGAATTATTTTTTTACAGTTATGTCTGTAATTATAATAATCATGTACGGGAACTTTGAACCAAGTTAGGGCTTGATTGCTGAAGCAAGTTAAATCTGGTGCAGTGTGATTTGCATGTTATTTTTGCCAGTTAAATATCTAAAATCCGAGGTATATTTCACTTACTAGAAATTGCACTAGATAACATGCATCACCCTGATTACTAGACATGCTTCTGATGCTTTTTGTTAAATATTTTATGCTATTTGAAGCTTTCAAACGATTTTACTCTAGCATGATAATCTCTCTCTTCACATGAGTCTGACTAAGCATTTTTTTAACACTTTATTTCTTCTATAATTTATACTCTTGCAGTGTGGATTACACGGTTCTAGTAACAATCGTCTCCTACCTTCCAAAATAAAAGAATGGGCTGCTGATGATTTGAGCAAGACAATGTCATGGTTAGAAAGTCAAGATGAAAAGGTCAATTGTTGACTATTTTTGGTTCAGAATCTTTTTAGCTTTTCTTCATAAGTTAGACGCTTCCAGGTTGCTAATTGAGGTGCACAGCATTTAAACCATGTAAATACTACTTGTTTCGTCTATTCTGTGTGCTGAGACTGTTTAGTTACTTGGTTACCGCTTCAAAGAAACGGCTTTCTTTTCGTTGATTATCTTGTTTTTATTCTTCTTTTGGGATCACAGCCAGAGGCCATTGAGATTAGGCGTGTTGCTGCAGAAGGAATAATCACTTGCTTGCAGGATGCTATAGACTCTCTCAAACAAAACAATGTAAGTATTTCCTTGTGCAGCTATATAGTTCTCGACTGCATATGTTTTGATAAGGGAGTAAATAGATTTCAGTGATAATTATTCATCATATAAAAACGGTTGTGGTGGCCTTGTCTCTTCAGCACCTAGAAATAATATGATTTGAAGCTAACTGAGTTTAAATATTAAAACATCTCCAGAGATGACGTAAAGGGCTATTGTTTTGACTTTGAGGGCACTTATGAGTGAATTTTCCATTCGAAGTGGTTTTTCCCAGATCCAAATTTGTTATAGATATCTTCAGAGCTCCTCCTACTGGGGTGGGCACGTGCGCTTATGTGTGTCTATCCATATTTTGTAGGTGCCTAATCTGGACCCATACTTTTGATTCAACAGTCAAATTCAAAATAGGAAAACGGATACAATCCTTTTAGCTTTTAAGCCTCACTCCACACTGTAATTCTTCTTCAAACCTCTGGCCACCACCCACTAGTAAGCAGTCCAATTTACCCCCTTTCGAAATCACTGTTCAGTCTTTAACTCCTTGTCATAGATGCTGGCGCAGTGTAATTTTTCCTCCACTACGCTATTTCTCTTTGTTCTAGTTTTGTGGCTCTTCCCCCTTGTTGTCAACAGTCTGCTATTATTCTTTGTCAATGACATTGCCATTTCTTATAACCGCTAACATATCCAATTGTGGCAAAAGCTAGATTTGTGATTGTCGATCTCCTGATTGTAAAGCAACACTCTCTGCCAGTCCTTATTGTTGCATTGGATTGAAGGGTATTTTGTTTGGCAAGGCTTATAGTGGATAGATGGATTATATCACATTTAGGAACTATACAATAACAATAACAATATCAGGTCTTTATCCTATTATGTGGAGTCAGTTACATGAATCTTTTTTTCTCCATTGTATCCTGGTAAGAGTCACCTTTAGGAACAATGTTGAGCCAAAATGGCCATAGATTAAGCATATTTTGTCCTCCAACTGATTGATAGGTAGAGAACCAAGCCATGCTACTATTGAATCTTTATTGAACCTTCAACCCATGGAGGGATCGCTGGAAGCCTTATGCTCATGAGACTTGCGATAATCAATGTCTTTGTCAAATGATTGTCTATGTGCCAATAACTTTTTTGAATTGAATGGTCGGATTTATTTAGAATACTGAGATTGATGCCCAATCAAATGTACCTCATAAAGGAGGATTTATTGGTCAACGCAAAACTTAATGAGATTGATCAATGTAGGATCTTGAATGATCAAAGTCATGTTGGAATCTCACTATGTGATGATCATCAGAGCATGAAGTATGACATCCTTGACCCCATAATTGGGGAATTAATCTAATTTATTTTTAGTCATATGAGCTACCCCTAACTTTGTTGTAAGAATTAAACAACAATATCAAACCTTCATCCTACTACGTGGGGTCGGCTACATGAATTTTTTTCTCCATTGTTTCCTATTAAGAGTCAAATTCTCATTGAAATCTAATAAACAATATTTATATTAATTTTTTCATTTTAAGTAGATCATTATACTATTTAATGCATCCGCACCCTTTTATGAGTATGGAGGTGGATCTTTGACTTTTTTGAAATAATTTTCTAAATTGAATCTCCTTGACTACGATTGCCCGTAGGACAACAATGTTCACATCCTCCTAAGACTTAATTAGAGTGATAATAAAGTTAATGCGTTAATGCAACAATTTTTTAAATTTATCATCTGGCATATTATTATTATCCAAATATCAACTCCTTGTTGGCATATTATTTGTGCTTAAACTTAGGCTAGCATAAATCGGAATCTCTCTAATTAAGGCTTCATTTGATTAAGCTTAATTTCTCCATTTTCAGTTTCAAGAAGCCGAAATCAATTACTTTTAAATGTTTGGAAGAACAACTTTTATATAATTCTTTTTCACGTAACTCCATTTTTTTGTCGATTATAAAAATTATTTGATTTCTACTTATTCTATTTCAAACTCAGTTTCTACAAGTAAGCACTTAAAAAAATGTTACTCAATCAAAATTTCATAATTGAAACTCTATTTTAGTAAACCCTTTTTTCTCAACATCTGTTTCTAAAACTTCATTTAAAATAAGCAACAACCCAACCAAACAAAGCCTAAGATTTATTTAGTGGCTTCTGGCTTGTTGATACCGAAAGTATGCTTATGAAGGGATTAATACAAACCCAAGTTAAATAATTGAAACTTTTTTAAGAGCTATTTAGGTTTGTTATACAAGTTTACACTCATATTAAAGTGCATAAAATAAACCCTTCAAAATACCTTCGATAGAACTTCCCAAATTGATTAATCAAGTTGATTTATTTTAAGCATGCAAGTCCATATATGATGAAATTTGCGAATGAGGTAAAGTGCGCCTCCCTTATTGAGCTAAAAGCTTGTTGTGAGTCTTCTCTTATAAAGATGTCAATATCCGTTAGTCTCGCCTCACCTGCAAACCCTAACTGCCTTGTTAAGAAACTCACTCCTTGCCATTTCTGTTAAAACCACATTGAGACTAACTTGTATCCCCAATGATCAATTAGGAAAAACATGACGGGTCCTTGAAATGCTGAAGTTACCAGCCATGCTCAATCTCCCACCACGTTATTTTTGCAATCAAATAGATATGCTAGTTCCTCTTTATATGATCTTCATTGGAATGTCCTTTGTTGTATTTCTTGAAATGATAGTAAGTTAAGATTCCTTTTGGGGGAAAGTTGACTGGATAGCCCCCAATCTTTGAGAAACATAAGAGAAATTCTTGAAACTAGCAAAACTTACCTATATGCTTGAAATTGATTCTGAGATGGAAGTCTATTGTTTCGTTCTCTTCTTTATGAGACTTGATACCTGATACCCTTTTAAGATCATCTTGACCTTGGATATTTGTAGATGTAGATGATACGTGATGGGATGACTAAGGGGCAGTTTAGTTGTTTGAAAAATGAATGCTATGTAAATAACATGTAATGCAAAAGGAATACTTTAAAGTTGTTTGGATAAGTGTAAAATGAATGCTTGAGATAACATTTTTTTTGTTTAGTTTGAAGTAAAATGAGTGCAATGTAAAGTCCAAAGAGGATCGTGCTTGGTGGCAGTGGCTGTGGTGGGTAGCGGCCACGGCAACAACAGTGGTCGACAGCAGTGGTGGCTGATAATGGTGGTTGGTGGACAGTGGGCAGCGGAAGACAGCTGTGGTGGTCGGCATTGACTGCGGTGGGCAGTGGCGGCCTATAGTGGACAGTGGTCGACAATGGCAGTGGCGGTGGTTGGCTGAAGCTTTTGGTCTTGGTCGGTGGTCGGCGATGACAGTGGCTGCCTACAGTGGTCAAGGAACTATCATTGAGGTTGCATGAAGTGACTCGGATAATGAAGCCAATGAAGAAGGGTGTATTGAAGTTGTATAAAGTGTGTGACATTGCCGATGGAGGAGTGAGCGATAAAGTTGCAACATGAGGAGGTACACTTGAGGTGGCCTTTTGATGAGTAAGAATTGAAACTAAGATAAAGAGGTGTACATGAAAAGTTGTTTGAGTTGGCAGCAAAATTGCTTGAGTGATGAAGAGGTATAGATGCAATCGCTAATGAAGGAGCATAAACAACATGATTGATCAATTCATGTTTTGTGAAGAGTTGGGTGTAAAGCTGTTCTAGAAGCTACTTATGAAACCCATGAAGAGGCGTAGGTGATGTAGATTGGTAGCAAACAATGACACTGCATGAATATGAACATGCAAAATGGGCAGTTAAAAAGCAAAGTCTCAAGCTGTATGACGAGGTGTGGGCAATGAAGTTGATTAAGAAGCGACTGCAAAGTGATATGAAGAGATGCGATGGAGCAACTAACTAAGGAGTGGACGAAAAAATCTCATGAAATGTTGAATGAGATGTAAGCAATGATACAAGTCGAAGTGCGGGCAATTGGGCTACTTGTAGCAGTGTAGGCGATGTGACTGACCGAAGATTGGGTGATGAAGGCACATGAAATAATCCATGTGCTGTGTTTGGATAAAGATCAGTTGACAAAGCTGAATAGAGTGGTAATTAAAGGCGATATGGCCAGCTAAGGAGTGCCCAACAAAGTCAAAATTTGTATTCTTTCTGAAGATTGATGATGATCTCAAAGCCATGGCATTGCATTGATGTCTTAGAAATGTGGGATACGTTAGGCCAAAGCAGCCTATGCCACCTTTTTTTTTATTTAAGTGCAATAATTGGTGTAGGTTTGCTCACATCACTATTATTATCTCTAAATGATGTTGGTGGGATGCCCTTTAAAGGACAACTCTTCTTAGTTTCCTTTTTTATTTTAGTGTAGGTTTATCTGTTGGGGAGAGAAGTCGACCCCGTTGGGAGACTACCCGGACATGGGGAGAGGTGGAATGGAGAAGGGCATGGTTGGGGAGAGCCATGGGGTCAAACTCAACAAAGGGAGGAAAGAACAGAATCACACCACCACTACACCGGAGGAACCAATGGGGGAAGAAACCATTGGGGTATGGATGCAAGAGTAAGGAAGCTTAAGATGCCAGTCTTTGAAGGGGAGAATGCTCAAGATTGGGTGTACCGGGTGGAACGTTACTCTGCTATAAATAGGTTGACTAAAGGGGAAAAACTTATAGCGGCAGGTTTATGTTTGGAAGGGAAAGCTCTATCTTGGTTCCAATAGGAGGAGGCTAGGTATCTGATTTATTCGTGGGGAGAATTTAAGTAGTGCTTGTTGGAACGTTTCCGAGCCATTCAAGAAGGAGACCTCTACAAGCAGTTCCATGCCCTAACTCAGGAGGGAACAATTATGGAGTACCGAGAGAAGTTTGAGCTACTTTCGGGGAGACTGAAAGGAGTCTCGGAGGAAGGATTGGAGGGTAATTTTATGAAGGGTTTTAGGGAGGACATACGAGCAGAACTCAAGGTACTGAGGCCTAACAGGCTGAGGGAGATGATGGATCTTACTCAGATGGTGGAGAAAAAACTATAAGAGGGAGAAGGCCAGCAGAA